CCAAACGAAACTGTTACTGCTGACCGCTACGAACACCAACTTGACAGTTTGTAGGATGCTCTAACCTAAAAGCTCACCTTAATCGCAAGAAAATACCATGAGGTGCCGTTCCACCACGAACATGCCAGACCCCTTGTTGCGAAGAATGTCCTTTAAAAAAATGCAGTTGTTGGATGGGATCAGCTTAATCAGCCCGCATACTCTCCGGATCTTGCTCTTTCTGATTACCACCTATTTCGGTCCATGCAAGTCAGTTTGGCAGTTATACGCTTCCGGAATGCCGAAAAAGTGCGAAAATGGGTGGATAAAAGGATTGCCTCAAAAGATGAAGACTTTTTTAGACCCGGAGTCAACAAGATACCAGAAAGATGGCAAGAAGTTGTAGCTAACGATGGGCAATACATTGGTTGATGCACATTTAGTTTTAATTTTGTAATAAGTATGTTTTTGCACGCGAAAAATGGCGGAAATTAATGCACACAGCTAATAGTATAGCGTCATTTGAAAGTGAAAGCGAGACGCTTTATACTCTCGTATGTGTAGACGAAGGTAATTATTGAGATACAAAGGTGATATTACTGATTGAACTTACTCTCTGGGAGTCGAATAACTGTCGAATCGTCTTCTTGGAGTTCGCCTTATTACAACTTCCTCCTCCCATTCTCCTACATCATCTTCTTCAAGATATCGGCTCGTTGGATACCTGCGTTCAAGACTACTGCTGCCTTCTTCCTCCTCCTCCTCATCGTCATCTCCTCTGCAACTGTGATTACTCTAGGCAGCGTGAACCAGTTGTATGAAACTAGCTATAAAATCGGCAAGCCTGCAAATCTGAAGAAATGGCGGAAAAGAATAATCGGCGCTCACTCCATCATTCGGCCAGAATCTTCTTCATAAGATTCTTCCTCTTCCTCCAGAACATGTCCTTCCTTCCCATCAACAAAGCGCGCAAATCTAAAATAATGCAGCCAACCATACCGGTCCCGTGTAAACCACTTGAGTAACTCAATATTTCATCGTGAGCATAAAATATGTACAGCGCTTAAGCATCAATAAATGCCAATAGATCAAGTAATCAAGCATTAAGTAAAGCTTCACACAATGAGCGGTCTAAGGCAGTTCTACCTACTGACATTACATCAAACATTATCACAGTCAAACGAGTAAGAGTGTTAAGCTATGTAATGAAAAGGGAATTTAACTTCTCGGATCGTGTACTTTGCTTGTAATCCTCCAAACATCCGCCTCAGGACTTCGGCAGTACTCTCGTAACCGTTCTAGCTCTCGCTTCGTCACATCCCGACCTTCTTGTTCGTATTCTTGCATTGTGAGCAAACGACGGGTCGGTCTGGGTCGGAAAACCTTCCTCCTGGAAAGCCATCAAGCATTAGCATACTCAGCTCCCGTATCCACGGACAGTAAGGGAAGTAGGACCAGTTGTGAAGAGTTGAGTGTGGTAGGAATTGGACAGCAAAATAAGCCAGAATTCTTAACCATTCTGTCCGAAATATACACTTTGTAATGGAACCCGGCCCGATTTCCAAGAGGAGGATCAAAAACAATCTAATTCACTGTACACTCTATTCAACAATTCCATTTCAACCTTAGAACCCACCAGATGAAACCCACTGCACAAGCAAATGCATATACGATCCACCATAACCACGGACGAGCGAGTTGATAAGCCAGCAGTATAGCTATTATACCAATTGCTACTTCTGGTACCTAAACAATTGCATCTAAAAAACAGAAAAGAAGGAAAGCAAGGCATGGAGAAAATAGAATAAATCGCACTTGAGAGGAAGCATAAATAAGCAACAACGATATTGCTTGCAACGCCCACTCTGCTATATCATGCGAGCGGCTATCGGTTGGAGGCCCTCTCTTGTAGCAAACAGCAAACGATATCGCCATAACAGTGACCTTAACTCAAGTTGAAGGACTTTTTGGAATATGGATCGTCAGAAACGCAAAAAATTATGATTAATTACAAAAATAAAAACACGTCTTCAGCCTTCATAAGGTGAGGCTTTACTTTCGAGTTAAATTGATAGAAAGAAGGAAAAATCAGTAAATCGAAAGAATGACGAGCAACTTACGAAGTAAGCAGCCAAGTAGGTCTGATACTGTAGAGCAATAGCTGCAAAATTTTTCCACACAAAATGAAGTATATACACCGAAAAAGACCAGCCTCCTATCAGAATAGGTAGGCCAATTAGTTTCTGAAAAAGAAGAGTGACTGAAGGCTTTAAAAGTCTGCTCTGTGAATATTTTCCGAGATCAGCGAGAATTTTGAGAGTTGAACCATGGATGAAAACCCTAGTACACAATCCCATACCTATCAATAAATGAGCCGATTGGGAGGTATGAAAGAAGGGAGGTAATCAGCGATAGATTTGAGCGATAGTAATTCAATTGGGTGTAAGGTGGTACCACAATATTTGAGCCCTAACGCCTTCAAATATTGTGGTAGCACCTTACACCTAATTGAATTACGCCCCATAACTGTTATGGGAAAAAAGAAAAAGTAGTTTAGAAAAATCGAAAACTAGTCCATCACATCAAGCATGAGCCTACAATGGCTTGCGTAACTTTATAAACTCACTTTTGGGGCCATTCTGTAGAATATGAAGACAATAATCAGTAGCGAAGCTAGAAGACCAAACGAACAACCACTACCATAGTAGAATACCGCGTTGCGTACTAGGCGATGTGCAAAGAGAAAAAGGAGAATACCAGCTATGAAAATGCCCATACGAACATAATTCACATCTGTAAAGCAAAACTATAATTAATGTTAGGGGAAAAGATAGCTTACGTTGAAATGTGAGGAATCACTAAGAAATAAACCACCAAAACTTACTAATAACTTTAGCCTCTACGCTATATGGCAACAGAGTAGAGATTCCGACTACAGTATCATTGAAAACATTAAGATAAGGACTTTTCCATGGATCAACACCTTTGAGAAGGCCAAATATGCGATTATCTGATTGGAAAGCTTCTTCGACAACACTGCAGTTGTCGCCCTTAAACGATTCACAATTATAGATTCTTTCATAAAAGCTCACAACATAGGAGAAAAAAAAGAACTTCGCAGGTTTCATAAAAAAAAGAAAATAGGAGCAAACGAGAAATGGAAATATAAGGACTAACCTTGTAAAGATCATAAGTGTCACTGTCAGTTAAATTCAAATGTAGAATTATATCAGTAAATGCTCTCAACGGAGAGTATTGTAAACCTCTATGTATGTACAATTCAAGGCTGCGCATCGTTTTCGAAGGCACACGCCATCTTGAATTTTCGAGATCTGTAAAAAAAACCAACTTGTCCAGATAAAAAGGGGCTACGGCCATAGCACCAAAAAACTACCATAAGGAATGACTGAACTTCATGCATGTTCTGTTTTTTTCCCGATTGGGAATGGCATGACACAAAACCGGATGCTTGAAAATCGTAGGTAATATAAAGCTTCATTGGTGTGTTTCAGTTATACAGTATTGCGTAGAAAAAAGTTTTGTAAAACTACGTCACCAATCTTCTATAGAACTGTTTGAATAGGGGATATGTCCTGACCCAACCCATAGCAATTGGTTAAAACCGGGCGATTGTTAGCTAAAATATATGGAAATTGGCAACCTAATAAACTAAGCATTCACCACTTCCTAACAGAAATTCCTTTGAAGGAAACATTGGTTTCAATCACAGGGAAACCACCCAAAGAAACAGTTCTATGAAAACTCTTATATATGCTTCCCTTAAGCAGTTCCTCCTCACTCAGGCCGCATCTACTCATGTCTTGTCGTAGAAATGTTTTTATAAGAAGGGCCCCCTTTCTCCTTCCACTTCTTTAGAATGAATTCTAAATAAATCAGATGACTGTACGTGAAAACGCGAGACAATAGGCGCCGGAACACAGCTGAACAATGCAACTGTGGATTACTTCAAGGATCACGAATATAAAAGCTATAAAAGCTCACCTCTTGCATCGCAAATACTCAACGTTACTCCTTTTGAAAACAGTGACAGAAATAGAATCCATCGAAACAATGAAGACAACTGATTACACGGCAACATAAATTATATCCTAAAAAGGGCATAGTTGGTCGGTATTACATCAACAGGCTCGACGATACTCGAACAACTTGAAAAACCAAAATAATTGATTTAATTCGTTGCATATCTAACGTAATTGTTGTTTTAGTATATATTCCACTTAATCTCATGAAAGCTTTGGAAGGAAACGAGAAAGGAGAGGAAGAAGGCTTGGACCTCAAAATTACGGAGGATAAATATCCAAAAGGTCATTTCGAAAAACAAAATTGGCGCTAGTACAGAAATTGCGAATAGAGCGCTATTACTGATGTCTGATTGGTCGTTCAACACAGCTGTTGTTTGGAACACATGCCAATCACTTCACAACCATCGGAATGTTCATTGTCTAAGTGATTGATATCCATTAGACATTCCAGATGTGATCCCATCATGCTTCCCTTCTCCCTCATTAATTCCCCCTTTCCTCATTCTTTTCACACTTATGTTGCACTCGGAAAGAACTCACCGGTCAAGCCACAGCTAAGTCATTGACACAGGTGTTATCTTACGAACAAATTTCGTCTTCCAAGTCAGAAAGCTCTCAACTATACTTCCTTACATCTTTTTCTTTCAAATTATCTATTATCTTACTTCTTTTTTTTCGGATGAATTCGGTATAACAGAGAGAACATGCACACTAACCTTGTTATGGCTCAAAAAAGTCGAAAGGCTAGCCAGCATAAAAGTAATTCCTCAAAATTCAAATTTAGCACGGTTTTAAGCTCCTACCGTAATCCATTCGTTTACAGAATGCGACTAGTACGTGTTATTTTACGACTATATTGAACTTGAAGCTGCCCCTTCTTCAGTATGTAGAGATTTTCATTACTATAAGATGGAATTCCAATTTTTATAGGATGGCTCCTTAATGTGCCCATTGTAATTCACAATTCCATTTTTTATACGGTAATGGAAGTCATCTTGAACGGAACAAATGGGCATACAATGAAAAAAATATAAACCGCCGTGATACAACATTAACATGTTCAGTTTTCACGCTTCCGATCGATCGATAACGTTGAAAAAGACGCAGGAAAGTTTTTGCTGTCTGGTCTCTAGTTTTTATAGGGGAACTAAGGACCTACTACGGTAATCATATTTGAGTTTTCACAGCATAGTATGTATTATCGCAGGGTTTCTTTCGCAATGACGTAAGCGATCTCATTAACGGCCATGTCCCGTCTGTGGGGTGCGTTTCAGGGGGGAGAGGGACAAAGCCCATTTAGGATGAGTCACAACCAGTCAGTCAGCCTCGGCCCCCTCGTCGCGCCTCTTCCATTCAGCGCCAATTGCTGCTGCTCGGGGCTCGGCTAACCATACCCATTAGTCCATTGATTCTCCTCTTTTCATGATGAATGAATGGGTCGTAAGTGATTTTAATTCCTTAAACAATCCACTTTTATCTTTTGATATTTTTCGTTTTTCACCCCCATTCCCATTACAAAGCCCATTGTGCTTTGGCTCCCATATTGATTTTTCCCTTTTGTTTTTATTTCTATTTAATCATGCAGCTGTGTCGTGTATAAATCAAACGAGGGGTTCTTTCACCATTTGCACTGGTTCTCTTGCTCAAACCGCCGGAAACTGCTTGTTTACATTATTCGCTTTAAGTACTCCCTTAGGATTGTCCCGAAGTTATTTGTTTTTGGAAATACATCTTATTTATTTCCTGTTTGGTTGAGTTGTAGATGTCTT